AGTACATCCCCCAAGTCCTCGAGAACTTTGTGCGGCTGGTTCACCACGACCACGTGCGCATCAAGACACGATCCTGGTACCTTTTCCAGAGATTTGTCAAATTTCTCAGAGCGCAGGTCGGCAATGTGGCAGAAACTGTCATCCAATCCATCAGTGACCTCCTGCCGATCAAGGCTGAGGTATCAGAAAGTAACGGAGACGATGACATGTCGTCAGATGAGTCTGATCACTCTGCGGATGCCCTGTTCACAAGCCAGCTTTACTTGTTTGAGGCCATTGGCTGCATTGCGTCGACTGGAAGCACACCAGCAGACAAACAGGCATACTATGCCCGCCTTGTGTTGAATCCTTTGTTCAGTGACATGGAATCCCATCTGCCAAAAGCAAAGGCGAACGATGCCCAGGCCATTCTCCAAATACATCACATCATCCTGGCGCTTGGCCGCCTCGCCCATGGCTTCTCTGACTGGCAGCCCGGCAGCACCTCGGTCCAGAACCGGCCGCCCCCGGACAAGCTTGTGTCTGATGAATTCTCGAGAGCCGCCGAAGCCATCTTGATTGCCCTGAGCGAGTTGAACAACTCCACCGACATTCGCACTGCTTGCCGAGCATCCTTCTCTAAGTTGCTAGGCGTCCTCGGATCCGCTGTGCTGCCGCAGCTTCCTCAGTGGATTGAAGGATTCCTGTCCCAAAGTTCCTCCAAGGATGAGATGGCTATTTTCCTACGACTCCTTGACCAGATTGTCTTTGGCTTCAAAACGGAAATTTATAATGTCTTGAACATGCTTCTCACTCCCCTGCTGCAGAGAATCTTTGCCGGCCTGTCCGAACCAGTCACTGGTACAGACGACGAGATCCAGCTTGGCGAGTTACGGAGGGAATACCTGTCCTTCCTGCTGGTTATCCTGAACAACGAACTGCAGTCCGTTTTCATCAGCGAGGCCAACCAGGGTTTCTTCGAGTCGCTCATCAACTCTGTCATTACCCTCGGCAGGACTCTCGTAGCAGAGAACATTGGGCCCAGCCGGTTGGCCTTTAGCGTTTTGGCACGCATGGTTGTCGTCTGGGGAGGACCTGACTGCGCAAAGATTGCCGAGAACCCGGAGGCGCCCAGCGGTTCCCCGAACCCGACCATCCCGGGCTTCGACCGCTTCATGATTGACCGTTTCCACCCGCTCTGCTGGGAAGTCTTCCAGGACCCCAACTTCAGGCCGCAGAACGACGCTCAGAGCAAGCAGGTCCTCAACGAGATCGCCGGCCTCGAGCAGGCCATCTACCTCAAGACGGGAGAGATGTTTATCCAGCACCTACAGTCCTCCCTGTTCCCGCACTTGGGTATCGACGGATCCGACTTTTTGAGGTCCATGTCAACGTCTACGGATAGGAAGGGATTCTCGAGTTACCTGCAGGGGCTTCTGAAGAGCCGCAGGTAGATAGAGGGAGATGGGAGATGGTGTGTAAGGCATGGATGGCAATGGTCAGAAGGGTGTGCGGTATGAGGGGGCTTGGTATGTTGTGGAAAACGCGTTATTAAAAGCGTATGAATGGAAAGGGGGAGGGTTCATTGACAGGGGGTGGAAGGGCAATTAGGAATTTTCTCTCTCGCTCTTTCTCTCTTCCCTTCCTTCTCTTATCTTGGCCACTTTTCTTTGTTTAACATATCCACTGGCCGCATCGCCTTGGAGTTTTGAGGGAGGCATTAGAAATGAAACGACACAAATGACAAAAAGAAAGATTATATCCTCACTCGCTGTGTGTGTGTTTGCCAGGTATAATATTGATAACGTCTCGTGTCTCAGACTTGAAGAGGTCACTTCATCATCGTCTGATATTGTCTTCCGTCGAGGAAGAAGAGGATATGACTGTGATTGTGTTTTTCGCCTTCCCTTTGCTGCGATGCCACTGTCGCTACGAACGTATGAAGTGTTTGTCTGAGTTTGGTGGCTTAACTTGACAGTGTGTCTCTTTGACGTTCTCATGTAGGAAACCTCTGGAGAGTTTGGACTCGCTGGTAAGTTCGACTTGGAGAATGGGGTTCTCGTGATTTGGGGACAGGTGTTGAATCTCGGTGAAGTACGGTAGTAGGGAAGGACGTTGAGTCCTGCATTCAGCTTGAAATTGGGATCCAGGGAAGGGGGGGTTGTGTTGTGTGGATGTTGAGTTCCTAGGGTAGTCTTTCTTGTAGCCATGGGTCTTGGGCTTTTAACCTCCTCCCTTTCTCTCTAGGTTCTCACGGGCGAGAGGTACGAAGAGAGGGAACCAGTAGCGAAAGGCGGGCAAACTTGGCAGATTCCATATTGCCCCGCGATTTGTTTATTCCCCATTGCTGCTCATTCTCAATAAGTTGGGACCCAGGCCATCCAGCTTCCTCTTTTCTCTTCTCTGAAACACCGTCGAAAGTAAGACGAGAAGCGACCAGCGAACCTGGTACCATCGGATCGCGAGACGGGATCTCGATGTGCAACTAAGAGGACTTGTATAGAGTCCATCACTGAAAACAATCACACAGCCGTTGGCACTCCTACTCTTTAGAAATCAAAGGCACTTTTCTGCTTGATTAGTCTTACCCCAGGTGTGCCAAGCTAGATAGATAGTATATGGTATCCAGGATGTAACTGGGCTGGGAAATAAAGCCCATGAATCTGGGCGGCGTTTTTTATCCCGTCCCTGTATTATTGAAGCGAGGTGTTTACCAGGAGTAACATGGGGACATTGAACAGCCCTATGCTGTCTTAAGCCTTCATGGGGTTGTGGGAGGGATGGCTGGATTGCTTGTTCTCGTTGTGAGTTTATTAAGAATAGAGTATACCTTTCATCTATTGGTTTGGGTTGAAGGTTCTTTCTTGTATGGCAACTTGGTATACATATAAGAGAGAGGGGGGGGGGGGGGAAATGGTGAGTGGGTTGGTAAGGGGTGGGGGGTTTAGTGGGTCGAGTATGAGGGTCAGTAGGAAAGGGAGTATGGTTAGGAGGGGTTGTTTGTGGTTGTGGTTAGGTGGGGGTCTGTGGGGGGGGGGGAGGGGGGGGGGGGGGGGGGGGGGGGGGCTGGGAACTCCTCGATACCGTCTCCCACTCTCTTCATGATATTTTTACCTCCTGGGTGGAAGGAGCTGGCCACAGCATGTTCACTAAACCTTTGCAAGTTTGCATCGTAAGAATCCCAACTACTTAGAAGGACGAGAGACTGTAACTCATCTCACACGAATCATCGTTGAGCGAGCAACTCCCCCAAGCTACGAGTCCATGTAATTCAGGAAGCGTGTTTCAGGCTCACCTTTTGAGCAATACTTAGCCCCCCCCCCCCCCCCCCACCCTTCTAAAGCTCTATAGCGTAGACACCTGGCATCTTGGTACCCTGAAATTAGAGAATCGCAAACCATTCCCCCCCCCTCCCAGGCGTACGTCTAATCATTCTGGTGTATCGCGTCTTGCTACCTCGACCAACGAGATGAGACTAGTCGACGCTCTAGCTCTCACCCAATGATCCCTTCAATCAAGGCCTTTAGGTGAACAAGGGACCTTGTTTCAAGAACTTGAAGCAGTCACTCCGCTTTGGCATGTGGCTTTACTGAGAATAAAACAAACGAACATTCGTACCAAGGACCAAGGTATGATGGGAACTTTGTATTAAGTGAAGACGAGATGGTTTACGTGCAGGACTGACTACAATCACCCCGAGTCCAAGTTTCTTCGAATTTCGTCGGAAATACTCCGTAGCGCTTGCCTATTTGGCACGACATCCACCCGACCTCAATTGGTAAAGAACACGAACGAGAAACACATCTGGATTGTTTGACTCAAAAAACTCTCGGATTTATAAGCATCAGCTATAACGTTACGAGGAAGAAGAGAAAATGGGCCCAAGAAGACCAAACCCCTCATCTCAAGGCTAGGATGAACCGCGGTTAGTAATGGATGGGGAGCCGGTGGGAACAGGAGGGGTCCGCCGCTTAACTGTCAATTCAACCCCGCTAGTCATGTCAACTCAAGGCCAACTTTCTTCAGCAGACGGACGCGGCCGACAAAGCTTCTCGGTCGTGTTATGGCATAAAGATTGAGACGGAATTCGCGACCCAAAGCCACCACAGCGCTTTCTGGTACACGAGCTTTGAGTGAACGAGTTGTGGTTGACACCGGAAGTTACCCGCTTTGCAAAAATCATGAGCCACCCCGTCAACATAGCGTCCACCGGCTGAGTAAAAGAGTAGTTATAGCTTCGTCGAAACTTCGGCTGAAGAACCAGACAATACAACTCAATCCCACCTCACGAGACGGGGTCTGTAGGCCGGCTCGACAAATCTATCCGTACCCCAAAGAGCGGTGACATGTTCAAACGCCACCAAAGAAAAAGTGACAAAGAGTCGGTAACTTACACACACCCCTGACCGGCCCGCACCGCCTTCGATTGCTTTCGCTGTATCGGTGTATCCCCCCACAAGGCCCGGCACCTAAACTGGGGTGCAGGGGGGAGAAAAGAAAAAGACGGCAGCAAAACCCATTGCCCTCCTTCCAAGTTCTAATGCCGAGGCAAATGCCTGCATATCTTCAGCAATGCGTTTTGCCGCAGTGGATTCGATTTTCCAAGGCTTTTGCTCCTCCGTCTCGGACGAGCTGCGCGGCCTGGAGGCGCGGGAGGCCTTTGGCCGTAAACTAATTCTAGGCCCAAGAAAACGGGATTCCCAGCGGGAGTGCCTAGCCAAATCCACACGATGTGCGCAACCCTTTCCGCAACGGAATTTGAATGGGACGGACCACAGATATAGATCCACACGTTTGCTGTCGAAGGGCCCCCCTCCCCGAGTGGTCGGTCGTTCCATATGTAGGGCCTGGCTCGCAAGTAAAGTACAGGCTTCTGCGTTCCTCTGCAATCATCCAATCGAGTGAATCGTCGAATCGTCGAGCCTGAACCCGTCACGAACAGCATCTTCACCCGTGAAATACAAGTCTGCGGCAGATCAGATACCTACCGAGAGAAAGTCGTCAGCAATCATAACCTTAAGATGACTCCCCGTTATCCCGGCCGACAGGATGTCGACCCGACACCTCTGGCCCAGCCGCTGAGCTTCCCCTTCTCGACGGCCGTCGCCCCGAACCGCCTCATGAAGGGCGCCATGTCAGAGCGTGTGTGCACATGGGATGTCGCCAACCCCTCCAAGCGCGGCGCTCCCACCGAAGAGTTCCTGAACCTCTACCGCAACTGGGGTACCGGCCGCTGGGGCGTACTCCTCACGGGCAACGTAATGATCGACCCGGCCCACCTCGAGGCACCCGGAAACCCAGCCATCTCCCTTGAGCACCAGCCCGTCGAGAGTGAAGAGCGCTTCGAGACTTGGCGCCGCATAGCTGCGGCGGGTAAGGCCGGAGGCTCTCTCCTCCTCGCACAAGTCGGCCACCCGGGACGTCAGGTCGTCAGCGCCATCCAGTCGGACCCTGTCTCCGCCTCGGATGTCCAGCTGGTGACGGACTTTGGGGGCATGACGTTCGCCAAGCCGCATGCGGCGACGTTGGAGGAGATCAAGAAGCTCACGGAAGGCTTCGTGCACTGCGCCGAGTACCTCGAAAAGGCCGGATTCGACGGCCTCCAGCTCCACGGCGCACACGGCTATCTGATGGCGCAGTTCCTCTCGCAGACGACGAACAAGCGGACGGACGAGTACGGCGGTTCGCTGAGGAACCGAGCTCGATTCATTACCGACGTCGCCGACAGCATCCGCGCGCGGACGGGCCCCGGGTTCGTCATGGGCATCAAGATCAACAGCGTCGAGTTCCAGGAGTCCGGATTCACGACCGATGAAGCTGCAGAGCTGTGCCAGCTCTTGGAGGAGCACAAGTTTGACTTTGTCGAGCTGAGCGGCGGGACGTACGAGAGCTCTGGGTGGCACCACAAGAGAGAGAGCACAAGAGCCCGTGAGGCCTTCTTCCTCGACTTCGCGGAGAAGATCGTGCCTCATGTGAGCAAGACCAGGACCTACGTCACGGGTGGCGTCCGCTCAGTCGGCGCCATGGTTGATATCTTGCAGGCTGGACTCGATGGCGTGGGCATCGGGCGGCCTGCTTGTGCGGAGCCGAGGTTGCCCAAGGACATATTCGAGAACGGTGTCAAGAGTTGTGTCAAGCCTCTGCTCGACGAGCAGGACTTTGGTCTTGGAGTCGCCATGGCGGGATCGCAGATGCTGCAGATGGGCCACAACGAGGAGCCCATGGACCCGTCAGATCAGAAGGCGACAGAAGGCTTGGTGAAGGACCTCACGGCTTGGAAAGCTCGAGTGGCTGAAAGCAAAGGGCAGCTGTACGGGTTCGCCAGGCTGGAGTCGGCTCCCGTGTTCCCGTATGGCGGCAATGCTGCCCCGGCAAGATTGTGATTGGAGTCTCGGTCGTCATGAGTATCCCGTCGTTGCCTGTTCATATACGAGAGGGATATCAGAGTTCGTGCTACCGGGTACTGTCTTGGTTTCTACCGAGACATGGTATGATTGAGCTTTGTGATCTGCTGTGAAGACACGGCGGTGTGTGTAAAGTACCTATTTAGACAATGTCTCCTCAGACCCGCTGATAGGCAAGAGCCAAGGGGCTCTGAGAAGAAATTTTCGCTATGGCAAATCGCCAACAAGAAGTCTGCCACTCTGGAAAACGTCTTCAAACACAAATTGGACCCTGAGACGCGATTCTAGATGCTATCGAGAGCCGTATGACGGAGAAACAGACGTGGACCCCTTGCGTATGGTTCACCTGAGTCTTCCCAAGTGAACCATGGCTCGACAGTGCAGAATTTGGTTAGTGACCAGACCTCTAGAGTATCATGTCCAACTGAGTACGCGGAACCCCGGGGCTTCGACTGGCGTGGAACTGTCTGTAAGCCAGAAGGCTCTCACTTGTTCGGTCTCGCTTTGCAACCTGGTGCATGTGCTCAAAGAGATGCACATGGAGGGTTGAGAAATGCAATAGGTACGGCAGGCCGTTTGATAGTACAGAGTGACGTGGACAGAGGAAGAATGGAAGTGTATAAGACACCGCATACGAGAATGTTCGCCGCTCGGTCTCTTCGCACCTCCTTTAGTCGTGTGTACCTGAGCAGAATAGAGTAAACAGCTCGTGAATCTTGACTCCGGAAGCGCCCCTGAAGTCAGCATACACTACTTAGAGTGTATGTAGATTGAAACTCTGAGATCGGTAGCAGTGGCACACACATGGCTCCTGAACAGCTTTCCTGACAATTACGGTGCTGAGAGCATTACTCCTTTCGGAATTTTGCGGGGTCAGAGGTGGGTTCGAAAAATTGCCCGAGATTAGCTCTTCGTATGGCCGGATTGCTCCTCTCTTTTTACCTTCACCCACGAGAAAGTTCGAAGTAGCGTATTGGACGGATTTATAGAGAACTGGGCCTGATTTCCACTTGCCTAGAAGAGAGATAGGCCTTCCACGACTCGAAATAGCATATTTAAACCATCTCGATCTTAAGTTGTCGCACCGGTTCCGATGAAGAAGAGGATAGTGATAGGCAACCGGTATGAAGATCCGAGAAGATTGGCTGCATGATCTCCGAGTTGATGTGGCGCCGAGCGTCTGGTGAAGCGGAGCGGCATGGTTCATCTGACTCGACAGATCCATGGATGATCGGAAGTTTTGAGAAAACAACCAGATGATCAGCAGGAACAGGTTTCTACTGTTTGCGTTCGTACGCGACGGAGTTCCACGACACATTCAATCTGTGAGTGTGACGCTTTCCACCGACAGTCTGGTAAGCGGACAATGCTCTTCATGCGCCAAACATGTCGAGGGACGCCTCTTCTTGCACACTACTGCCCGTCTAGCACATGGCGGCGATGGCGCTCGCCTGGAAATTGCGCTTCCTATTGGAAAGTGGTCATCCTGCTGGCCTAATGATCGATCAAGATGCGGGAAAACAAGGTATGGCCCGGTGGCGTGTGGCAGTGTGGCCAAATTGCAGTCGACCCGATGAGGCCGCTGGGGCGCCGGAGGTAGGAAGAGAGTAGCTAGAGCCGAACCCAAGTTTGCAATGGCGTGGCCCCGGTGTGCTCGACCTTGGCCGTGTATGTTCATAGGGTGGCCGTACTGAGTCGCGGCTGGTTAAGGTTATCATTGCTCCTAGGATCCTATTCTGTCAAACAAACCTGGCTTTTGTTTCCAGTGGCCCTCTCACGGAAAGTAGCCGCGGAGGTCGAAATCATGCCCATAATCAAGCACTTTCGGCCGACCATCGGTCAGTGCCCACTACGCCGTATAATCTGTAGGTACTCGTACGGATAGAGCAGGGCATATGCGACGTCATAAGGGTTGATGCAGCATGGGAGTGCGGGTTGAGGGAGCATCAGACGATCTTATGCATCCACCGTGGTGAAACGCGCGAAGGCCAGCTCGTTAGAGCCCTTGGCCTGCGTGCCTGCGTGCCTCGTGGGGCCTGCTGAGATACCGCTGATGATAAGCAACAAGGATGTTTCGATTATGCAATTTGCAAAAGGTTGGACTGTCGAGACTCGAGCCAAATCATTCTGTGTAGCCATACCGGGGTATTTGCTCATTACGTCGAAGAAGCCGTTGCACAATGTCGCTATTGGGCGTCGCGCAAGTCCCATCATGTGATTGAAGCACGAGCACACATTCAATAGAAAGAGCCAGTAGTGCCGCGACTTTTGGATGAGGCGGCGTCCAGACACCACTGCCAAGACATTGTGGCATACAGGTTGTCAGTCGGTGGTGGCTGGTCCAAGGAAGAGAAGGGACGTCGAGGCTAAGCCGGTTCGAGCGGCATTATGAAGTGCCGGGGCGGTCTGCAGAGAGGATTTTGGAGATTAAGATTGGCTTTCTGAGCTTGAAAACACACGGGCAGTGGTCCGTGATTCTGACGTGTTGACAATGCTGATCTGCTGCGTAGCGACGCTGGATGAAGCCGCGGAGATTTTGGGTGACAGTGGACGACCATGGAGGGGCACAGGGATTGACAGGGGAAAAGAGGCTTGGAGATCCAGAGGGGGGCGGTTCGAATGCGACTAGGGTCTGTTTACCCAATGTCAATCCCTGTAGGCCTTACTGCGTTCATATCGCCTGTCGATTCTCGAGTCGGTATCCGTATTTCGAGTCCTGTGTGAGGGCCTGCTTTGGAGTCTGGCGTTCCCGACTCCCGCGGCTCCGTACATCCTGTGTATGTTGTGTGGGTGTTATCATGTCGTGGGCTGTGGGCCGCGGTGTGGTCGTGTTGGGTGACAGTATTCTCCTCTTTGAAAAATACGGGGATGATTTGCCGTGTGGCCCACTGAATAGCGATGGATACTCTCAAAGTGGCTCTCCTTTGAGTGACAGCCATCAGCAGGAAATTAGACCGCCATGGAGCTGGAGGGGAGTTGTTCGTGGAAGGGAAAAAGATTGACGACTCCTGGACTGAAAGGGGGAAGTTGTGAACATCATTTGCGCTTTCTGATTTTACGAGTACGTACCTGTCAGCGATGAACCTAGCACGTGCCAGGTACGTATCTACATACAGGATCTGTACGTACTCAGGTGGAAGGACGTTAAAATGTTTTGGGAAACAAAAATGCCCACAGCTTCCGCAGATTGTTCCTGCATTAGTTCAAGAAACCAGATGTTTGTGCTACTCCCCTCGAGTTATGCCTGCTTTGTGCAACTACTACACTACGGTACCTTACCCCTGGCTAAACTGTCAGACTTTCTTTTCAAAATGTTCAGGGTCAATTAACAAAGGGTGAGGGGCAAAGCACAGGTGCAGGCCACAGGGCACAAGGCACAACAAGGCTTTGCCAAGGGAAACCGGTACCCCTGTCTTCTGGCCCGAGGATGTCTCTTTCTCTCCTCTTTTGGCGGAGAACCCTGTTCCTCGTCTTCTCTCTGTGTTGTTGGCGTCTCTCTCTTCTCTTCTATTCTCTGTTCAGTTTCTGTCATGGCAGTGTCACTGTCTTCTGCCGCTAACGCTAACACTGTTGCACCTCTCATCGAGTCCTCCCTCCTTTGGTGAGATGATCATCCTTCACCTCCACATTTCGGTGCATTCCCGCTGCCCATCATCTCTCTCAGCTGGGCGGCCTCGCTGCCTCAGCGCTCAGCTCTTCCGCTCCTTTGTGCCATTTGGCTCTGAATAATCTCAAGGCGACTAATGCCGCGGGATGTCTCTCCCTACGGAACATTCTCTCTCTCCCTATCTAAGGGTATGAAGTCGGTCTCCTGGTTTCAACCACAGCAACGTGGTCTCGCTCGCTCCCGCATTCCTCAGGCAAACCTTTTCTTAACCTCCTCTTCCTCCGATCTCTCGTCTCACTCTCACCCGTGCTGCCCTGGCTGCATCTCGGAGACTGACGACCACTTTGTCCAGCCGACGAGACAGGGTAAGGCGAGGCGACTGAGCGAAATAACGACGGCCTGGATCTGCGAAACTACGGCCACTCAGTCACTCAAGTACCGAGTACGGCAGCAAATCCTTCGGCTCGCACAGCTTTACACCTTTGCCAGCTGTACCGCGTACAAAGTCTCACCGAACCATCCACTTGCCCAATCAGACATTCTATCCCTGTGACCATGAAATGTGCCACTTTTTGGCTCGCTTTCAAACATTGTTCCATGGTCCTTGATTGATTGACTCGTGCTGGGCAACCTTGCCTCCCAGGATTCTCGGGATCAGAGGAGGCACAGAGCGTTGACCAACTCTCAAGAGGGCCCGAGATTGGCGAACCCGACCATGAACAGCCACTTTTACTCTTTCACTCTTTTCACCGCCAGTGTGCAAACGCTCATATGGTTGATAGCCATTCACCCATTGACAGATTGTCCAGCTGGACGTTCAATAGACGCCCAGCACCTGTCATATGGTGCTAGCGTCAGCGGCTTTTCTCCTGCAAGTGTGTGGGTGTCTGCCTCTTTCCTCTCATTCTCTCCTTTTCGTTGGCGCAAGTGGTCAGCGTACAATAAGTCGAGAGCGAGATTGCTGTGCTTCATTGCTCAACACGAACGGGGAAATTGAAAGAGGCGCCAAAGATCCAATGAAGCTTAACGGGGCCGGCGCACAACTCCAGCGGCTACCATCAAGCAATGGCGTCCTATCCGGTCGTGTTCTCGACCCTCAATAAGCGCTCACAACTCATCTCTCTCTCTCCTGACCATAGGCTCCCACAGGCTACAGCCATGCGAGAGACCACATACTGCAGTCCAGCAAATAAGGTGGCAACGGCGTTTTCCCTCATGTTCTGCCACTAACGTAGCGCTATGCAGATGGGATCTAACCCCGGCCTAGAGTCCCAGCGGAAAGGCCGGGGTGAAAAACAAGGGTTCGTTGGCCGGCCTGGTCTGTACGGGCCAATTCGCCCAGGTGCTCTTTTGGTGCCATCCAACCTCTCCACCAAACCCCTGGATTAGCGTTCATGGGGCTGGATGTTAGCAGGCGTTGTGTAATTTCCCACTCTGTGTGCCTCGTTCCATGTCGCTCACTCACTCTCACTTGCTGTTGCCGTTCATGGGCGCCGTTGGCGGAGTGCCTAGCGGAGGAAACGGGAGGGGACCTGACTGACTCTCTCTCACACACACACCTTGTTCTCACTCTCATTCTCACTCGCCCATTCATACCGGGGAGAGGGGCCGTTTGAGTAAAGGACTCGCACTTGTCCAACATGGCCTATTAATATGCTGCCGTCCTCCCCGTTTGCCTTCAAACCTCTTCTTGTTCCTCCCTCTTCAGCCAAACAAGCCTCATCAATCTCAAGCATCCGCTTTTGACTCAACTTTGACTTCGGTCGTCCATTCTTTACCAAAGCTCTCTGCTTAAAAACACTCGCTCTCTTAATCCAACCAAACCAACAACTTCGTTTTCACGAAAACCCAACCCCCAATAACTCTATTCAAAATGCGTTACGCTGCTGTCGCCCTTGCCGTCGCTGGTGCCGTCATGGCCACCGCTGACGAGCCCGCCTCCACCGTCTTCTCCACCAAGTACTTCACCATCACCTCCTGCGCTCCCGAGGTCACCAACTGCCCTGCCCGCAGCACCGTCGTCTCCTCCAGCGTCGTGGCCGTTCCCACCACCCCCGCCGTCTCCGTCACCGAGTCCGGCGTCAAGCCCACCGCCACCGCTCCCGTCGTCGTCGTTCCTCCCCCCTCCGGCGGCAACAGCACCGCTCCCCCCTCCGTCCCCGCGGTCCCCAAGCCCACCACCGAGAGCGGTGCTAAGCCCGTTCCCGTCACCACCGGCGGCGTTGCTCCCTCCGTCTCTGCCCCCGCCACCCTGGCCACCAGCGCCGCTGCCTCTGTCTGCGGTGGAAGCTCCGTCAAGACCATCTCTACCAGCGTCACCACCGTCATCCCCACCGTCATCTACGAGACCGTCCAGATCCCTTGCCCTACCCCCAGCAAGCCCTCTGCGACGATCCCTGGTGTCCCTACCGGTGGCAACGGAACGTGAGTACTTCCAATATCAAAGATGAAGACAAAAAAACCAAGATGCTAACTCTCCGAATCAGTGCTGTTCCCCCCACCAAGACTCCCGTCACTGCCGGTGCCGCTGGCCTGACCGGCTCCGCCATCCTGGCCGCCGTCGCCGGTGTTGCCGCCTTTGCCTTCGCATAAATTCCTTACTCTTCTGGACATCTCTTCTGAGGAAAAGCCAACCAAGGCTACGGCAGTTTACGATCAAATCTAACGGGTGTTCTTTTTGCTGGGGAGTCTTAAGAGGAAATGTAAAAAAGAGCCCTTTCTTCTCTTTGTACATTGTATCTTAACGGAATGCAAAAACAATACCATTTGTACCTAATCTTCTAATTGTATTTGGGGGACGTATGGGATGAGCGCAGATGAAGTAACCTTGCGATTGAGACATCGAGCGCGAGGGACTTTGGTTTGGCTTATTCCCGACGACCTGGCTTTAACGACGAAGTGTTTGGGGAAAACATATCTTTACCAAGAGTGATTATTCGCGACGTGACATTCGCTGCTCAGAGCGGTTGGTGAGAGTGATATCGAAGAGGGGTTGAAGTGATGCTCCTCAAGTGAGGTGACATCCGCCTTACAGCGACCTTCCCCGGACTTTTTCAAAACGCCTCACAGTTGGGAAATTAGACGGCAACTATCCGCATTGATCATTAGCCTTCCCCATCTGCGGACGACTCCGACGGCACCGAAATCCATCAGCTCAGACCATTCTATGCGTACGGGAGTACATACACACCGAATCGAAATAACCATCAGCAGACAAAATAAGCAACCAATCGAAACGGAATCGAACGAACCACTGTCACTTCGGATGACTTTTTTTCGGCCAAGACTTGAGGACGTGGACGGGTCTATGCAAGGAACAAGGAGGATCGGCCCTGTCAAATGATCTTGTCCACGCACCCCTGGGCCCTCCTCTCACCTCTCACCATCTCACCTTCTCAGTGTGTGTCTCTCTCGCACAGGCACAGGCACAGGCACAGGCACAGGGGGTGCAAAAGAACAACGGCCCTTACGGTTTACCCCACAGGATCAACTTTGAGGGACTTTCGGGAGATTACGATTTGGACGAACGGGTGGCCGCGATTGGTCGGACGGTACCCCGGTCGCAATTTGGACGAAACGCTCGGCTCCGCCCAATGGGATGAACGGCTTCCCCGACGACTTCTCTCCCACTCTTTCCTGCAGCCTGCACAATTGTTCGGGTTTCCTTTCGTTGTGCACATCATAGCAGAACCTGCAATCAAGGTTCACCGAGGGAACGGCGAAGATGAGAGGAGGGGAGGGAAGGGGATTACACCACATCCCATCCATGCGCTGGGGGAAGTTTCGCAAAAGAGTCAGCCTGGCGCGCGCCAGAAAAGGAAGGCGAATCGATGAGAGAGAGAGAGAGAGAGAGAGTCTGGGTGTTCTGGACCGTATCCCATGATTCCATTTGATCACCTCCCAAGGATGCGAGGCGCAGTTCCGCCTTGGATTTCGGAGTTTATTTTCTATCCTTCTTTTTTAGGTCATTTTTGAACATTGGAGAACCTGTGGGTTCGCCTTCCTCGTTCATGCAAAGCTGCAAATCTCCTTCCATTTCGGCCTTTCGTCATGCTGCGGGTATCCGTACTTTATGATGTATTCGTACGGATACCTCTGCGGATCGCCGGATACATCGTTTCTGCAATGTTCCCGGGAGTCTGGGGAGATGAAATGAAGAGGTTTTTGGGTGAGCTGCGGGGAACCATTTCTCGGTCTCTTCCGAGAGGGGGGTCTTCGTTTCCATTGATCGACAGTGCCGGCCTTTTGGTTGTCGTTGCTGTCGTGATGCTGGCTGGTTGTGGGATACTGTCGGTGTCTTGGGGCATTGGATGGTGTGTGTTTGGTCTTTTGCAGTCTTGTCGCTTCTACTTGATAGCTCACTGTCGTATCACGTTGCTGAGCCGTGATACGGTAAGAAATTTCGGTATGAGGGGCGTTTCTTTCTTCCTCGAGGTGAGACTTGTGACGGTCAAGATGATGTCTACATCGTGGGTCGAGGGTCGCTCTTTCATTCGTTCGAACAACTCCATTCAATTTGTCTATAGTACTCCGAGTCTTCATTTCGAAACGCAAAGTTGACGGTTAGAAAGACAATTGTCTCTCCGTCATCTCTCCTCACAGTCCAAGGTGGCCTTCCAGTAGCTCTAATTCCTGCTCACCGGCATCAAAATCCTAGGTGTTGTCGCCTTAGCAGATATCAAGGTGATTGCTTGCAGGGAAAACGACCGACATTGGTTCCCGAAATGAATAATAGTTCCCCTCTGAAGCCGTATCGAAAGAAATGCCCCCCCCCCCCCCCCCCCCCCCCACAAAAAACCCTCGTGTTTTGCGTCCTCTAAAAATAACAGGTTTTTTCTTCGGGAGAAAAAACCCCACCTTGTTCTCCAAAAAAAAAAAATTTCCCCCCCCGAGGCCACAAAAAAAAAAAACCCCCCCCCCCCCCCCCCCCCGGCAACTCTACTGTTACAATTGACGATGCGGAAATATTCATCCTTACCAGCGGATACTTTGTCTCCCGTGGGCAGCCTCAGCGGCGTCTCACATGATGAGGCGATTTCGAATGTGCGAAGTTCATATTCATGTTATTCCTCGATTCAGCATGAAAGTCAGCAACGCAATATACGTTGCACGGTATCTCGGCATTACATATCATGGATCAATGACCAAGAAGTTCCCTCCCCTCTCAGCCTGGGCGGCAAATACGACACCGCTTTTCACCGTCCCCTCCTCTGCGAACGCTAAAAATGGTCTGCCGGTGCCACAATGCGGCGTACAGTTGCTATTCTCTTTTAATTCATTCGAATCCTAGACCACTGGCATCGGTGTCGATTCGTCGCCATTTTGGATCTCAAGCATTACCACGTGAAGAGGCCATCGGTCGCTGAACGATCCCTTAGGCTTACTAGCCCATCAAAGTCAATGCGAAGAGAGTGTCTTCCCGAAGAATGTCATGCAAAACGTTTCTGCCATGTGTGTCAGGGGAAGAGGGTTCTCCTTCCTGATTGCCGAGTTGTAATAGAAACAGTTTTCCATTGCAAGCCTCTTTAATCAACTTCAAACCGTGGCATTTGACCATCTGAATCGTCAACCTCTGCGGCCTCTCGAACTTGGAAAGGGATCTTTGAAGTACATCTTGCTCTTAATCTTATAAATGGTCGCTCTTTCTTGAAACAAGGAAACTTTGACAGAATGGACATGTTTGATGTAGAATACCATTCACCTAGCAGAGCTGCGGTTTGGGCCAAACGACTCGCGACCCATGTCTGCCAAGTCCATTTACAGTGCTGAGCCTAAAGATAGCTTCAGCCTCAAAGGCTGCGAATGTGCACATTTGTCGCCTTGTGTGGCCATTGTGTAACATAAGTGCCTACTTACTCGCAGTAACGCTAATATCCCATTGTTAGTGAGCGACGATGCTCTTGTTTTGCAAACGCTTAGTTTCAAGTATACCCTGAAGTCGTATCGTTCAAGTAGCGCCTGCTTATAATAATAATAATAATTATTATTATTCCCTTCCCATCCTCTGGTTCATCCCTCTTGGCTACGTCCGATGCTTGCGCCAAGAGTTCGTCTTTCGTATCGAGCACGGCCGAGGTCGAGAGCTACCTAGGGTACTGCGTATAAGTGGGATCAAATGTCACACAGCCGCGGTCATTTTGCGTGCGAAAGTGCGGTGGGAAAGCTGGCATTGCTTGCTTTTCCACCTGAGCAAGATCGCGTCACTTACACCGCCGTCTCCTTAAGCCACTTGCTGTACTTCAACTTTCAAAAATAATTGAAGCCATTCACACAATCTGCGCCATAGCGATGAATTGCTACAGTGCCATTCGAATAGGGAATAGACGGTGGCGTCCAGGACAATGTCAGAGATGGGTGCTTAAACGACAGCCTCCGACCAAAAGTAGTTGTTTGTCGAGAACCTTACCGTTTCGGAGACGGCCCCACTTACGTTGGTCCGGGACGGCGGTTCGAACACGGGCCGAGAGGGGGTGCTCGATCGTCGGCTGGGTCCACTTTGCGACCGTCAAGGTGCCCTGCCGCATTAAGCGGCTACAACCGGCATATTACAGCTGCCAGGCAATTGGTTTGGCTTTTTCATCATGTAAGGCATCGCAATGATGGAAAGAGCGAGGTGCTCTGCAGTCACAGTTCTTCAAGGCTCGACGAAGCCGTTGGCTGTTCTCTAACAGGCAAGGTTCCACCTCTATTTTTCTTTATTGAAGTCGGGAGTTGGCTAGGATGAAATCCCAGGTAAACGCTACACTTTTGTTGGCTCTGATGGCGCGGTTCGACCGTTCTTCGATCGAGCCTTGGCGTTCGGCGTCAAGTAGAACATCGGAGCTTACGTTGCCACGGTTCAATCCAACGCCGATGCCGACTCCGAGCGCTGAGGCCCGACGGACGGGGACAGATGGCTGAGCCGACAGCAAAAAGTGCAACAAGTCCAAAGATCATCCACTTCAGGTACTGGGTATCGTCAGCGACCAAAATTCAGCCAAGAGTCTTCAGTCCTGATACGTTGATCGTCGATGACACGTCGACTCTTCAGGCCTCTTAACTTCATCAGCAAGGTAGAAATGCAGGCAAGGTAGTATGCAAGCGCCCCAGCCCTACCGCCTCGATATCATCCGACGTCCGTTATTAGAACCGCCAACCGGGAAAGCCACGCGCATCATCCCATCAGTTTTTCTCTTACCGAACACGTCGTCTCGACCCATCGTCATCGAATGTAGGTAGATAAACCTGTCATCCCGCCTCACTGGAACGGACGTTAGCTTACCTTAGCCCGGGAAGGTCTCCACTCATTCCGCTCGCACTCGGCACGCACAGGCCAAGCTTGTCCTACCTCCGACCGCCGATTTCTCCACTTATTTTCCTTCCTTCTTCCACTGAGCTGAGAGATTGGAGCTCAAGGCCGGCCCCACTCCCGCACTCGCTTAATTCCAGCTAAGCAAGCTAAGACAACCAAACAGCCAAACCCGCGATGATCGATGCCCAGCCAGGCGTGCCAGACAACCAGCCAAGCCTCTCTTCTTACCTCCGTCGTTCCCTCCCCTCGTTGCTGGGCGTGAAGCCTGATATGGAGTCACAGAGGGTAAGTATACCAAGGAATGGGGAACTGAGAACTGCCCTATGCCGTTTGCGCCAACCAACCAGGTTCTCTGGAATCAGCCTCCTGTTTGATTCTCCGTCCACATCAACCATCATCCTCCCTTGGCAGCCTACCTAGTCAAGCCACCCGCCCGATGCGAGATGTCTCTGCCCTCCCGTCGATGCGGATGCGAGAGAAAATCTCAGGCGCCGCCATCCCCATTCCCCCACGTCTACCTACGCCTCTTTTTCTTCCTTTTCCTCCACTTTAGCCTACATGAGCTTATTCTTGATCACTCCAAAGTCTAAGAGAATGCGAGAGACAACCTTGTGCCTGGTATCCGTTCACTAGTGAGTGGTGACGACTTATCCTGTTCGTTCGTTCGTTCACGGTTGGGGCTCCCGCTCAGCCCAGTAGCCCGGCCTAGCGAAGTAGAGCGAAATGAGAGAAACCCTTACTCCCTATCGAGAAATGTCTCTCTCCCTGCAGATAAAGCGTATATATCATCTACCCTCTTTCCCCGTGCTCGAAATGAAAGGTGCGATGTTTGCTTGTTGGTTCCCAAACTACCTCACCTTAGCCAGGCTCGAACAAATCCGACTGTTTAAGACATCCCCTTAACTCCACTGGCACGTAAACACGACGAGACAAGATAAGGAGCTTGACAACCACCTCGACTGTTCCTCACACGCACCTCTTCTTCTCTATTTCTTCCGTCGCCTCCCCAGCAGAAGAAGTTCGAATCACCGAAAACGAAAAGAAACCTAACCGTCAACAACAATGGCCGGCCCCCCGCCCCCTCTCCCGCCCTACATCGTAACCTTCGGGCCCAAGTCAAACTGCACCCTCGACATCTGCCCGCTCGAGTACAGCCTGTACAAGTACCGCCCCAACCTGGCCGTCAACATCCTCTTCCTCGCCCTCTTCGCCCTCGCCGGCGCCGTCCACGTCTTCCTCGGCATCAAGTGGCGCCAGTGGTGGTTCATGGCCTTCATGCTAGCCGGCTGCCTCAGCGAGATTGTCGGCTATGTGGGCCGCATCGTCATGTACAAGAACCCGTTCGAGTTTATCGCCTTCATGCTCCAGATCGTCTTCATCACCAGCGGGCCTGTGTACTACACCGCCGCCATATATGTTACCATTTCAAAGGCGTAAGTTGTGTTTTTGTTATTCTCTGTTCTTGGGGCTCCCGTTCAGGTTTCGCTCTCATTGCTTTTTCTTTTCTGGACTTTCTTTTCCCTTTTCACTTCCCATCCCGTGAGGGCTTATTGACAGCTGTCTCGTCGTCGAAAACCCCTTACCTCCTCACACAGCACGTCGCAATCTAAGATCATGCACATCTGAGTCCTCTCTCTCTCTCTCCCGGCCGAAAAGCAAAACATAGCAGGGGGCCCGGCCCGATATAGCATCACATTTCACTCAAACTCAGATGAAAACACAACCCAGAAACTGACTCGTCCTTGTCTCACAAACAGCATCGAATCCTTCGCCCCAGAGCTCTCCCGCATCCCCACAAAGTACATCTACTGGCTCTTCATCTCCTTTGACGTCTTCTGCCTCGTCCTCCAGGCCGCCGGCGGCGCCCTGAGCACCACCTCCTCGGGCAGCTCCGACGTGGGCGTCGACCTCGCCATGGCCGGCCTCGTCATCCAGGTCATCGTCCTCGTCGCCTTTTGCTCGCTGTTCGCCGATTACATGATCCGGTACACGCGGTCCGACGTCGCGCGGGCGCTGACGCGTCGCGAAAAGACGTTTTTCGGGTTCCTGGCGCTGGCGGTCGTGCTCATCCTCGCGCGGTGCGCGTACCGTGTCGACGAGCTGAGTGAAGGGTATTCAAATTCGGATAAGATTACGAATGAGGGGTTGTTCATTGGGTTGGAGGGAGTGTAAGTCGTTTTTTCCGTCTTCCCCTACCATCGACGTTGGCATCTGGTGGACTTTCCATGCTGACACGTCTTTGTTTAGCCTCATCATTTGTGCAGTCTTTGCGTTATGCCTTGGACACCCTGGGCTTCTGTTTGGCAAGCCTAAGGCTTCGAACGGTGTGAGAAAGGAGTCGAGTGTAGAGAGCGGCACCGAGAGTGCCGCGGCGGAGGTGGAGCGCAAGTGATTTCAGATGCCATTCTGCAGAGCGGGACTCGATTTAGCAGTGTATTTTCTCTTTGCGTTCTTCTTTCTTGTAAATGAGCGGACATCGAAGCGCAGCCCTGTTGCTCTCACCTTGGTTGGTTTTGAGTTTCCTACGGCATTAGAAGCGGTATCAGTATGACATGAACACATAGACACGGCGATAAACGACACTAAAGAGTATTGAATCATATCCAACAAGATCATCATACGAACCAGCCCACTGCATTGAAAACGCCTTGTGCAGTAATGTAGTCGTCAGCAAGCTTACGACACAGTACAATGTCAACGGCTAAGCGCCTTCTCCAAGTTCGTGTCGTCGGGCCAGTTTACTGTCCCTATTTAAGAGCAGCTGGTTCTCGCTGCCCATCGCTGCGGTCTTTTACTTACCATAAAGCCGTATCGGATTCTTGCATCGGGGTCGCCTGTGTCACCGGCTGTGCGGTCTTCAGTACCAGAGTCGGCGTCGTTGAAGGCCCTACAGTTGATGGCATCTTATTCCCATCAATCATGTTCAGGCAGGATAGGAGCCCCCGTCCTACAATTCCCTTGTGGCCTACATATTCCAAGAGGATTAAAGGTCAGAAAGGAATTGCTAATGGGAATCGATAGTTGATAGTCTGGCCGGCCCTGGAAAGTCGGTTTTCCGTAAGTTTTCTGCCATACTCTTCAGTGTCAGGGCGAGACGTCGAGCTTGAAACGTCCGACTTGACCATCGGAATAATGGCTAATACGGAGGAGAGAAAAACATGGTTAAAGGACTATTTTTTACACAGCCATTGTTTCGTAAAGATCCTGATAGAAAACAAACGCATGCAGCTGACGGAACATTCAATCGACCTTTTGCCCGGAGCGCGCGATTTCAGCTATGACTGCTGGATGAGCATCATTCAAGGAGTACTCGCTCTTCGGGCTCATCCTTTTATCTTGAGCGAACATCACCTAAGATCTATGTTATAGGAAGTAAATATACAGGGTCGAGTCTCTTGACTTCCTTAGGTCGGCGCTGTTACATCCCTCTCATTTCAGAAAGGGCACCAGGGTTCCATCCGCGGCTGTTTTTGTTTTTTTTGTCGTCGAGTAGAACTCTTTACTATATCAAGATTGCTACTCTCCCATCATCGACGAAGCTCAAATTTTCGTAAGTAAGCTTTCAAATGCTCGCTAAACTAAGGGACTCCGCTGCGCACATCTTATCGGCGACGCTATTTACGGTAGCTATCCACGCTCTATAACGGGAAACCCGCTGTAAAGAAATAACATTAATGGCTGACTAAATATTATCTATGACTTCTTTGAGGCACAGGATGTAACCGGCAAAAAAAAACCTTTTGGCCTACTGTGCCTAAACCGGCTTTGAGAAGTTCTTTTCTCTCGTGTCGTTTGAGGGGTATCTCTAGCTCTATTAATACTTGACAATGCTCTTAATACTTTAGGAAGATCTTAGCGAGCCATAAGCGTTGTATTAGTGGTAGATAAATCGTGCCTTAAAGCACGACCAATACCTATTATTAATATTACTACTTTTTATAATAAGAAAGAGATTAATCTAACTACACCCTCCGTCAAATCTCCTAGCTTATTCTTTTATGTACATATGTCAGAGAGTGACTGCCTGAAAGCGAGATTAGTATGCTCTCAAGCTAAACCTTCTCTCACTCTCACACCCTCCTCTCGTATATCACGCTACGTTCGACTACACTATCAATGGTACCCAGATTAGGACTAACACCCGATTCGACTCTAAGGTGAATCAAGATCATGATAGGAAGCAAAGATTTGAGGCTCCGACAATTTATATACAAAATCCGATTTCCTATACCCACCCCTTAGAAAGTCGATTTTTCGATATTTTCCAACCTCTATCTTAAGCTCCGCAGCATGAGGTAGACTTATAGTTCTAGAGCTCAAACATTACGGTCGGCGCGATAGCAGATACAAAGGAGAGAAAGGACTTAGTCAAACGATTATATTACACCTACAAGCATTGCTTCGCGAAGAGACTAGCGGAGATCAAGCGCACTAAACTCGTGGAGCACGCGATTGATCTTCTTCCGGGAGTACGGATTCGACACTTCTACCCATGTCCCTATTTTTTGGAAGATCCCAAAGCGACTGCCGTCTTATAGCCTGCCTGATACTTAGTTGCTAGTTCGCTTAGGAGCCCGGCACAGTCTTGGGCCTTGAGACGGATAAGTAGGACATCTCCACGTCGAGTGCTCTACGTTGCACGGTCTCGACTACTTAGATACTCGTGAGACCAAGCTAGAAAACGTATTTCGTAAATGTCTCATCCTCTTCGTTCATCTTCAGTTGGCTGCCTCAAGCTATCTAGAGCCATAGTTCTGGCCATTTGTATACGTACGCCTCGCATGAGATATCGGACAAGCATCGAAACGGACAATCCAACCACAATAACCCGTGCAAAACGAGTCTTGGCAGGGAAATATTGACAGGTCGTAGAAGCTGAGAGGAAAGTCTTCCTTCCCGAGCCTAGAATACAGACTATCCGCCGATAACGCTTCAAACACGTTCCTCTCCGTTGACCACAATCCCCCTTCGTGGAGCACTCGTCTCCAGAACATCCAAAGAAGACGGCAGGAGATTTCGGACAGGGATTTGATCGCCCTGCACTCCGTCTCTCGGGGTCTCCCCCGGAGCGGAATATGGAACAGGTGGCTTGCAAGCGGAGCACTTCACCCCGACGCCAGGGTAACAGCCCTGGATCCGGATACCTAGTTGTTGCGAAGGATACCTCAAAACTTATTTCCAACAATAGTCTGTCACCCCACTGACTTTGTCGGCCAAGATTCTGGCGATGAACACCCGTGTCAACAAGATGGTGCCGCTTGCTTGGATCCCGCTGATACATACTTCCATGCTTCTGCCGTCCGGAAAGCGCGATGGCTCTCGATAAATTGGTACGATGGGGAATGGCCCATTTAATGTCGTGCGCGCACGTCTGAAACCGTCGCAAGCCGTCAGTAGGAGGTATCCCCAGACACATGCTTGTGCTATAGACCCGTACTTCACACTGGCTGGCCATGTTCACACGAAACCGAGCCCCCCCCCCCCCCCCCCCCCCCCCCCCCCCCCCCCCCCCCCCCCCCCCCCCCCTCCTCTCCACTAACCCCCCACCTTCCTTGTCTGTGATCTCACTATACCCTCACACCTGCGCAGTCACGAGGTGCTAGTTGGTCTTGTTTTTGCCCCCCCCCCCCCCCCCCCCCCCTATTCGTAGTATGGTCGGTCCCGTTCTTTAAAATGTCCCATGAACCTTTAGGAATCTGATGACTGAGCACACATGTTACCTGCGAGGTGAAGACGATGTAGTCGTTTGCTATATTTGGCGCCCCGGCGACCTTCGTCTTCGTCCTTATCGTGAACAATGTAAAGGGTCTATAGAAAGCACTACGTACAAAAATACAGCAGACAGCGCCACCGCCGCCATCTCACAGCTCCATTACATGGGTAATTGTTCTCATAGAATACGCAACAGACGGGAACCACGGAAAGATGACAGCTGGTAAGGATCTCGATTTCTAGAAACCCCCAGTATTCGACGCAACAGATATGTCGTGCGGACTTGGGTCTCCTACACAAAGGATCACTCTCTTCTGATTAAACAACGGAAGATGGCAGCCAAAGTTGCCGAGTTCTGCAAAACGCGAGATCATCCTACTTCTTTTATACCTGCAATCAGATGCCGACCTCCACTCACTCCCGGCCAAGCCAAGGAAAAAAAGACTACGCACTGGCTCCTGACCGATGGGACTACGTGAATGTGTCTCATTTCCATCAATAAATGAAAAAGAGCGCCTGTGTGCTCGCGAAATCACACCACGATGTCCCGCACACAACAACACTATGCCTCCATCAAGCAGTTCGAGATTCGGCAACAAGACACCGCTCACCAGAGCAACATGGGCCACCATGGCCTCGCCACTCTGCGCGACACCGCCGTCCGCGGCATCCGAGCTGCAGAACCCCAGGGCAGCGTCCCTAGCTACCCGGAACATCTAAACTCTTCCTACAACCAGCATGCCCCTACGTACCTCGAGATACTACCCGCTCGCAAAACACGACAACAGCAGTCAACCCCTGGACCGCCATCTATCCCAATGCCTTGAAATCGCCTGTTCGTCCTTGTGAACCTCGTTCCCAACCACCTCGTCGACCGCGCCGAGCCAAGCGCCGACCCCCGAGAAACTGGGACGACCCCACTCGAACCCCGTACCCGCGCCGAACGCGGCCCCACCAAAACCTTCAGCAAGCCCCGCTCCCCCTCACTCCCGCCTCCCCCGCACCGTCCCGCTCCGAGAACCAATCCACCACCCAACCCCGACCGACGGGCCGAAAGACAATTCATAACATCATCATCTCAGAAAGTCACATCCAACATCAACGAACCTCATCACAGCCGAATCCAAACCTGAGGTCACTTTTTTCATTAGGTATATCAAGAGCGAATCAATGACGCAACTTCCTCGTTCATGCAGGCAAGAAAAAAAAATGTTTTTGGCTTCGCCGGCATTTCAGCTCAAGCTCAAGCTCTAGCTTCCAACAAAGGCAATACTAGCGCCCACAACGCCGTTTCCTCATGCTGTAGATTGTGCAGCTTCTTCCATGAAGCTGAGCTGACAACTCAGCTTGGGGTTGCAACAAAAAAAAAGTGTGACCATCCTTCCATCATGAGATGCGTACAAGTTTCGCCCAGGAAGTACATCTCTCTGACAATGGATCAAGCTCTCCCTCTTCCTGGCTCGAGAGGACCCGATCCGACAATGGGGATATATCCCAATCCCAACTTCATGCAGACATACCAAAGTATTCCCGTCCACTCCCCTCATCTCCTTGTTCTGAGCCATGATAATGGCGCGGTACTATCATCAACCCGTTTGCTGCGACGAAACATCATGCAAAAAGAAAGAAAAAAAAAGTTCCGACGCGGGACGCGGTCGACGATGAGCCGAACCGAAACGA